CCCCCGGAGGAGCTGGAGGAAGTGTCTGGAGAGAGGGAAGTCTGGGCATCTTTGCTTAGACTGCTGCCCCCACAACCTGGTCCCGGATAAGCAGAGGAAAATGGATGGATGGATATGACATCCTGATAGTAAAGAGTTACAGTAGTCCAGCCTGGAAGTAACAAATGTATGGACCAGTTTTTCAGCATCACTTTGAGACAGGATGTTCCTGAGTTTTGCAATATTGCGCAGGTGAAAGAAGGCAGATCAAGATAGTGATTTACCTTTTTTCTCATTCTTTGTGCTACGGTAAGCTAACTGTTTCTCTGCTAAAAGTCTTTGTGTTGCACTGAAAGGTTTCCTTTAGAGCTAAGATAATGGTTTCCCCCCACCTCTTGGTCCTTGTGCTAAGGTAGGTTATCAGTTTCCCCTGCTGTCAAGTGGAAAAAACACAGTTTCTTACTGGTTTGTTTTAATGCTATGCTAGCAGTTTCCCCCTGCTTCATGCCTTCTGCTAAGATAATATTTGTGTCAAGTTAAGCAAATGGTTTCTCTCTGCTCAGTCTTTGTGCTAAATTAATAATTTTCCTCTACTCCCAGTCTCTGTACTAAGCTAGTAGTTTTCCTCTGCTCTGGTCTCTGTGATAAGGTAAAGTAAAAGTTTACCCATCCTCAGTCTGTGTGTGCTAAGCTAACAGTTGTGCTGTTGTAAACTAATGCTTCTTCTGTGCTCCTCGCCTCTATGCTAAGCTATGGAAGTGGTCTCACTCTTCACAAGCCTTTGGGGATCTCCAGTCTTCCCAGACCAAGCTAATCCGCTCCGCCCCTCTTCCTGAGTCCTCAGAGAGGAGCTGCAACCAGACCGAGCGGAGGTGAGTCTGTTTCTTCTCTTTGTCTCGACTGATAACACACATCACATAATGATCACATATTGACAATCACTGATAACAGCTTGAAACTGACAAGGAGAGAGAGGGGTAAATAGAAAGATGGGGACAGATGACCCACAAACACATCTTTTTTACAAACAGCACCGACTCAGATCAGGACTGGACAGGTGGGACTGTACCAAGTCAGAGGCTGGTTAGATTTTTGTTTGAACATCTGTTGTGTTTATTGGATCTAGATCAGATATGGACCTGATTTCAAATCATAGATCTGGACTGAAATGTACCTACAGACCACTGACTCTGCAACTGATCCAGACATTCTCTACCTCTGTCAGGTGTCCCCTGTGCAAGTCTTTTCTGGATCCCTATGTGGATTATCAGACACATTTCCAATCTGGATCTGTCCCTCTGCTCTATTCTGGAGCTGTTTATTGTAATAACAGATCTAGACCAAAGGAGGACCACATAAACCATTCTGATGACCATATCCAGACTGGATCTGGGACACTTCATTAAGATAATAAAACTAAAAATGATACGATTATGATCCAGATCAGGTCTGGTCATGACAAGACCTGTACCCTGAAAGTGTCATCTATACCAGGTCTGGAACTCCGCAGATCTGGATCTGTGGACTGAACTGATCAGTGTGGTTTTCACTCTCATCTTATAATTATTCTTATGTTGTTGTTGTTCAGATTCTCTTTCATTATGTAAAAACAAAAACCAAAATTTAAAATCCAAAATAAACTAAATAAAAAAACTCTCCTAAGCCAGAATTTGCAAAAATAAATGAAAACTGTAAAATTTTAATGTGCAGAAATCCATGTGTTTTTCATAGGATTTAACGTCTCGCTCTGCGATAGGAATAACCAGGACGGATTACTGCTTGAGGACCTGAGTGAACCACTTAGCTCTGATTGGCTGATGGGATCCATTTCCTTCTAATGGACATGAAGCAGCAGCTAACATTAGCCTGCGTACCCTACTTTGTGCTCCCCTGGGACCCAAAAGCATTAGCGCGAGGTTCCCCCACCACAGGATGATCAATAACTGGAAGAGACTGACTTCCTCTCACAAACACAATCAATATTTAATCAGAGCTCAGTGTCTGCAACCGCCACTACATCTGAGCCCACATGACATCACACCTTGGATAAAGAGATGTTTGTGATGATGCACTCTGACATGACCTCAGCTAAACTAAATTTTAATGCCAGTGAAAGGGAAGTAAAAGCTAGGGACAACACAAGCTGAAACTGGGCTTGAAAGCACGTTTATTTTGGAGCAGTTGACTTAAAGTAAACAAGTAACTTAATTGTAAAAATTAAACTGTGTTATTTGCTTTAATCGGAATCAGCTTTACTGGCACGGGTGTGTTGGACACATGAGGAATTTGACTCCGGTACAGCTGCTCTCGATGTGTATGTACAATGTTCTTTTTTTTTTAAATTTATTTTATTTTTTTATTTTTATTGAAGCAATGTAACACATTAACAAAACAGTACCAAACATGGGAGACAAGACAACAGTTACATGACATTACAAAAGGATATAGAGTGTTTAACAAGGTTGTAGTGTGTGAAGTGTGGGTATTTGCAACTTATGCAGTCTATGAAGGGAAAGAAAGGGAAAAGGAGGGAAAAATAAATAAATAAAAAATTACCAATAATAATGATGATAAGATACTACTAATAAAAAATCAGCTTGTTACATTTTTAGAGGTTGGTGGGAATGTGCGTGGCCTCAGCCCCAGGTATTTGGTTCAAGTTCAAATGTGTTAAAAATGGGTTCCATGTGTCATAAAAAGCAGATAAACTATTCTTTTGAGTGGATGCCATTTTCTCTAATGTGATGTATTCTGTCAGAAGGTTGGTCCAGTGGTTTATGTGTATTGATTTTTTTTATTTCGAATTTTGAAAGATTGTTTTCTTGGCAATAGCTAGAGAAATGAGTAGTGGGTTTTTGTATTTAATTGGTAGGTGGTCAACGTCTGTGATATTACTGAGCAAAGTGATGAAGAAGGAGGGATTCTACAGCCCAAGATGTTGGAGAGTTTCTCTGTTGCTGCTATCCAGAGGGAATGAACTGGTTGGCAGGTCCAAGTAGCATGAAAATAATTGTTGGTGCAATCTAGAGTGCATTGTGAGCAGATATTTGTGTCAGTGAAACCCATTTTGAACATTTTACTTTCTGTAATATGGGTCCTATAAATGGTCTTGTATTGTATCAGCTGTAAGTTTACATTGCTGGTCCTAGAAAAGATGTTATTGCAAATTTCTGTCCAGAAGTCGGAGCTGAGTTCCATCGTTTTCCCATTTGAGTTTTGGTATTGTTATTGTTGAGTCTGTATTTGATATGAGTTTATATAGCTTGGATATTATTTTCTTGGAGGATGTAATTTTCATAATTTCTTCAATTAATTTGGAGGGTTGTAGATGCTTATTGGTTACACTAATCTTTGACTTAATGATGGATTTTAGCTGATTGTACTGGAGGAACTGTTCTCTCTGAACTCCATACTTCTGGATCAGTGTATTAAATGATATGAACTGGTTATTTTCAAATAGGTGAT